AATTCCACGCGGAAGCAAACAAGTACTCAATGACACATTTAAACACCTATGGACCTGCTAGGCAAAACTTTAACATTTGAGGACGGCCGGCCGGACAGAGGGACAGAAGATGGAAATCGGTATTACATAGGCTCACACTTGCTTCGCAGCTCGCCAAAAAGCACGACCTGTGGCATAAAAAAGGACAAGTTAACAGTGGTATGGGTCCCTCTTGGGTCCAGGCATTCTCACCTTGACAGGTGGGTACGGTGCCAGACCAATGGCCGTCCACCCCACAGGTCAGTTCCTCATCACCGCCGACTCGCCTGTAGCCTGCCTGGCAGCGGAACCGGCAGAGGTTACCATGAACGTGGGGTGCCAGGCAGGCCACCACGGTCACCTGCTGGGGCACTTCCAGGTTGGGGCATTGCACCTCTGCCGCAAGCAAGGAGACAAAAAGGGAACAGTGATGGTAAATTGGCATTTCCAAAGATGTACTTTGCGTCCAGAAGATGCTTATCTTGCCCTTAGATCGACCTATATCCGCAGCACTTAGTGTTGCCTGGTACCCGCTGCTACGTCTGCCTTGGACCAGCCGGCAAGCTTGATGGTCGAATGGTAAAGATGTCTGCCCGAGCGACGCAGGAGGTCGTGCATTCGAATCCCACCCGAGTAAACTTGTGAATTTCTTTGTGAGCTCTCGGACAACACTGAGCATACAGTGTAAGGATAAAATCCGTCACCAAAAAAAATAGTAACTAAGGTTAGGTTGAAGGAGTGATAGGGAATGAGGTCGGAGGCGGATGGATGATGTTGAGATATCTAGACTGACGATCTTGTTGACGTAAGCTGCGTACATTAACAATTCTTTGCAACCAATCCAGTGCACCGTGAGTTGAATTCAACATTTCAGTCCCCTCAAAAGCCGAGTGATAAAGTAAATGAAGTGGATGGTTTTGAAGACGGCACGATCATGAAACTCTGCAACTTTCAGAAATCAGCCCTCTATTTGCAGTGCCACCCCAAACCGGCCAAGCACTGTATTGCATTACGGATTCCATTGTTATACAAGGTAACACAAGTGTTAATAGGTTTAGGGAACATGCTTTGACTTAAATACAAACATCACAATTGTGCACTGAATACCTTAACCACTTCGTGCCGGGGCATTTTTCAATGTTGAGGATGCTGGGCCGGCATGACTATCATTTTTCCGTTTTCAAAATCCTTCAACAATTCATCATTCAATTTAACAGTCGTTTATAGCCACACAGAGTAATATTCAGGCAC